GATAACGGTTTGAACTTCATTGATCGTGGAAGCTAAGTTCGAAAAAAATTCATGAAGCAAAATCAAAATTGAAGCTGTCACAGATGAATAACCAATATACCGAGGTCATTAATGAAAACCGCACATTTGACAAATTTAAAATTTTACACGAGAAGTTAAAACTGTTCAAAACTTACTCTTAGAAAATACCAACAAGGATATTCTAAAAATGCAAATAATTCTCATATGTACCATGATTTGGCTTTCAATTTTGTAAGGAAGTGCAACCTAAGGAAATATTTAAAAATATATATATTAATCATGTATAAATAGGCAAACATGTTTTCTTTACACACAACAATGAAACAACTGGAGTCTGTATTGAAAAACTTAACTGAGATATTTCGTAATAGACGCGGCTCTTGCTGCATCATGTGGAGTGAGTTTGAGAAGATTGGCTGGGCTTGTGACCCATCTTTGTGCAATCTAGGCCAGATTTGACGTGCTACCCCAAGTTGTCTGTGTGCTCCATCTTCTACTTGTCAGTTCGACAACGTACATAGGTTTTAAGCCACAGTTTGCAGGTTTCAAGGGGCCTTCAAATCCTGGCCAACTCTTCTACCTAACAATTTCCTGGCATATCTTTTTGTCCTAGAACCGAAAAAATTAAGGCTTGTATGTTTAGATTAGTTAGTCCTAATCAGCCACTGCGGGGCCTTCTTAATATGTAGGTTGCAACTCAGCTTGAATCATATTTGAGTAAGACTTTCTGCGAGTATACAGGACTTTGAACCCTCTGCTACAGGTTTGAGCCGTGGATGTATATGGCAGTACCGATAGAGTAAGCAACCAAGACACCATTCCATTTTATCGAGGTAATGATTTTCCATACTGGAGGTAGCAACTTAAATTTAGTCCTATACATCGGATTTTCGTGTGACCGAATCGTGTGGCACCCCGTTTTGCCAGAGTGTCTTATCTGTATGCACAGCAACTTGACTCTGGGTCAACAGGGAATAGATTGATCAAAATTTTGAGAGCCTTCGCTTGGGGATAGCGCTCTACCTTTTCGTATTTTACTCTAATCGTATACTTCCCTAAGGACTGATGGACATCCTAAACGCCGCACAGTGGACTGAGATGAGACCCAGTGGTCAAAATAAAATATCTGCTTTTGGGATTAACATTTCTGGGTATTTTAAAGGTTATGTATTTATTTCAAAGGGAAATTATGTAACAGAATCGTAGGTTGTAGAACTGTATGTCGCCAAATAAGACTTCATTTTTCAAACAAGAAGTAAAATTCTATAAAAATTCCTTAATATTAATATTTAACCTTATTTACCTTACTTTTAACCTTAACCTTAACCTTAACTTTTGTGTTAACCTTAACCTTAACCTTAGCTCTTTATCTCAATCCCAATCCCAATCTCAATCGTGGCCTCCACTACTTTGTCGTTTTTTCTTTGAATTTACTCCCAACTGAACGCAAGGAACTTTCACTGCAAAAATTTCATTAATTTTCCTTTGAAATATATACATGTACATATGTATTTACATTTAATTAAAAAAAACAACCCCACAATGAGACCACAGGGTCTCGTTTCAGCCCACTGTGCGCCGTGGAATACGATTGGGCGATGCTGCCTTGTGAACTCGTTTAAATCTCCATTAAATAATTCCGCATATTCGGAGCGGCTGATTCATGGATCTATATTTGTATCTATATGCACATTAGGGCGGGTTAATTTTTTTTGACTATGCGCGTATAGCATAGGAGGATTTTACGTGTAATTATAAGCAAATTTGCCGCAGAAACCATGGGTATAAAATCATTTTGAGGTTTGGCAAATAGTCAAAATAGACTTCGAAGAAAATGGGGAAATTTTTCACTATTGCGCCTTCTGGTGGAAATTTTAAGAAAAACATAAGTGCAGAAATGGATTCCTCATACCAAAAAACCCCTTTATAGCATGTCTTTATACAAGGACTTCTTTACGACACTGCAGCAAAATGCTAAGTAACCTTTTTTCCGCAATTTGACAAACTCCAAATTTATTTTAGACCCATGGTTTCTAGGGAAAATTCGCTTAGAATTACACGTAGAATCCTTCTTGACTATACGCGCATAGTCGAAAATATCTCCCATACAAATTACCCGCCCTAATGCACATACATTGTCAACTAAAAAAGTATAGAGTCAATGTTATCTCAGCGAAGCATGCACCGGAACCCAAATATGATTTATCAGTCTTATTCTAGTTAATCTACAAATTAAACTCTAATTTCTCTTTCCCTTCTGGCTCCTCCAGCTTAAAATGTTGAAGCGTTTACCGACCTAAGCATGATAATTTTCAATTATTTAAAATCAAAAGAATAAGTACGAGTATCTCTGCCATTAGAATAAAGGTTGAATAAACTTCAATGGCTTTAAGTTGATAAAACTCATAAATCTTGTCGCCTAACTAAAGACACAGTAATGGTATTCAGCAGACAAGCGCTCAAATTTGTAGAAAGAAAATTTACTTGCATACAAATAATAGTAAGACAATGCAGAGTGCATAGAGAAGTACCTTGTAGGACTACAAAACCGTGATTCCTAAGTGGTCTAGTTTTTAAACTATGCCGGATCTCCATTAGGCATTAAATGACAGAAAATTATAATGAAACATTTTGGCATAAAAACAGGGTTACTATGCCATTTTATAGTGATAGAAAATTGTTCGCCATTTTTGTAATTTCAATGCTTGGTGCAAATTTCGGATTCGTAATATTGTTTACAGCCGTACCTCTTTTTCGAAGGTATTGTTAAAATCCTCACACTTTGTAAAAGGTTTTCGACTACAGCATTAAAATTGTAGATCCGAGAATTCCCCTAGGGCGATGTCTCGGCCACAGCTTGACGAATGTTGGTCCTCCAGCGATCCAGAGTAGTCTTATCCACAAGAACCGTATCCTTTGTGTAGCTCCAGAAAAAAGTGTACCGGCTTCAATTCTCATGCTCTCGGTGGAAAGTTGACATGTCACCAGAGTGTCCAGATTAGCGATTTAGCGCCAATTTGGCGATTTTTTTTTTGAATATTTGCGCGTAAAAATTTGGGAAATCGCCTGTGGCGATTTTTGGCGATTTTTTCCCTTCAACTGAGTTTTTTGTGCGCTATCATGTAAATGCGTCGAAACACATGATAAGTACGTTATGAAGTTAGAGCTTTAATTTTGATGTGGCAACACTTTTTATTGTTATCGATTTTGATGTAGAATGTCGAACATTTGCCAATATTAAACCACCATATGTGACAACTCCCGCTGAATGTGGAATTTCCAATTTCATTAGTGGCAATAGCGGGTCTCGCTTTTATTTTATTTTTAGCGCCTAGCGCTTAAAAGCGGATTAATCAATTAGTATGGTTTATATTGAATTTATTAATTGCGCAGTCCTATTGGGAAATGTGTTAATACAAATATTTTTTTAAAGTACGAATATTTTTAAAGAAAATTGTTTGTACATCACTATCATATAAGTGATTTGTGTTATTTAATATTACCCTGAAGGCATTGTATTTGTTTCATGAATTTTATAAAAAAAAAATTGCGATTTTTGGCGGTTTTTATTTTTTTCAAAAATGACTTCTTTTTAAACAATCTGAACTCCCTGCATGCCACCCTCTTGTTGAAACCACTTATTTTCCAAATCATAATCTTCAATGGCAAAAAATAAGTCAGTTATCTTACGGTCATTGCTTTCCACCTGCCGTCTTTTCAATTATTTGAAGACTCAAGTATGGCAAATTTCCTTAATACCGTATCGACGGAATGAAAAATGTCGTTGCTGAAAAATAATCTGTTCGGCATCCACAGCCGGTGGTTCGGGAAATCAATCGAATATTTTCTACGCTGGACTTCATATATCTCACCTATACAGACTCTTTAATGTAATGATGGCGATTTATTGTATTAGGTTTTAATAACTTTAATCCATATTTCGCAAGTACTACATTATTAAATAAAAAACACGTTTAGTTTGACAGCTCAGTTTGCCGGTTGTGAAATTACAACCCAGTCATTTCAAAACCACAAATCGAAAACTGTTACAAACAACTTTTTATCGACACTTTTGATTTAAAAATCAGTAAGAAAGGCGAATTCATACGTTGTGATCTTAACGGATCAGCTGATTTCAGGGCGAATTGTGCTGATTGTCAAAATGATGTGTTTGTTGTACATTCTTTGTGTTCTGATTAGGACAAATTCATATGAGATGGTAGTGGCAATGAGAACAAAAATAACAAACACATCATTTTGACAATCAGTACAACCACCGCGAAAAGCTAAGTTTGCCGATAACAGCATCTCGTATAAATTCGCCTTGGTTCTCATTGTCATCGTGTTAGTGTAGTTTTTTGTTTTTGTGCGGTCGCTATCACCTTGTATGCATTCACCATATCAGTAAGCTTTCAAATAAGCGCATAATTTCCCTACAGGGAATTTTTAATTTTTAAGTCAAGCTAAATATTTATTTGTTCGTTGCACAATTGATTGCATGTATTTTGTTATTATTATTAAGTAAGCACGAAGATTTGTTAAATGCCGCAGGCGATCGGCACTTTTATCTATCCATCTATGTAATATTTACTATTTAGCTTTTTTATTTGCTTTACTGTTCTTTTTTTTCTTCTCTCTATGTGCTAGCTGATGGGCAACTGCCAGGTGGTGGTGTGATCGAGGCGTTGCTTGTGGGCCGCCAATTTTTATGTGGGCAAAATGATGCGGCGGTGGTGGCGGTGGCGGCGCTTTTAGTTATGTTTTTGTATGTACTCGTAGCTAGGCCTTAGCTTGAAGTTAGTGCGCTCGGCTGGTAATAAAGCCGCAAGCAAATCTTGCAGACAATAAATGTTAAGTGTCTTCCTACTTGCAACCGGCAAGCATAAAACAACAGCACAAACAAACGCAAAACAACAACAACAATAATAACAACAACATTAGCTATAACAAGCAGAGCGGTAAAATAACAATAGCTGCAGTCATAATAGCAATAAAAAATGGTGGTAAAAGCGCTGCGCAGCCAAGCATAGGCATACGTAGTACATACGTACATACTTACGAATAGCCAACATGCAACACAACAATGCTAATCTATGTTGCACGATTTACTGCCACTTTAGGTTAAATGCTACAAAATGCTACAACGGCAACTAGAACAACAACAACAACAACAGCCAGCTGCTGACTATGGCCCACTGCATGATTTAGCACATTCCGGCCGGCAATAAGCGGCTATTAGCGGCGTTAACGGCTTGACTGCTGGCAAATGAATGTATTGTTCACATAAGTGAGTTTACTTTTGCATAGATGAGCTGCCACGTCCGCCTCCTACACAGATTTGTCTACATTTACTTAGCTCGCGATTATCCTGGCTGTTGCTTTCAAGCCAAATGGAATTTGGTGCTTTTGCAATCATATTTCGGTTATGGATAGCCAGATATTTTCCCCTTTTCACTAGTTTCCTCTCTCTGTCTCTCTCTGAAAAAGAAGTGGCATTTGGCTTATTGGTTTGATTTGCTTACTCCTTTGCTTGCTTTGCGTTTTATGACCCTCGCATTTGTTTTTGTAGCCTAAGCGCGTATACGAACTCCGCTACGTTTTCGATTGGGCATCTATGCGCTTGCCTTTGCCGGAATTTAATGGCGTCAAAAAATGCAAGTACCCAGTACGTGCAAGACGGTATTTGTTTGTTCTCGAATCACTTTGTTTTTTTTTTGCTTTCCGCTTCGTGTGGTTATTTTTTCTTTCTTGCGTGCATTCCTCCTCGTTCGCCCCCACGACATTGCATTAACTTGTTCCTTGCAAGACACCGCGTTGCTTTTGTTTTTATTATTCGCATACCCTGCGCCAATCTCGCTCTGATTTTGTGCTTTTCCGTTTCATGCAAAGGCGACGTTTTGTTTGCCTTAACCAGCAGCATTTATTTACCTAGTAGGCTTTTGTGCAAAACCTACATTACTCATACGACCCCCTGTCCCCCATAGCGCTTCCTTTTTGGGCGTGCGCTACACTCCCACGCTGCGCCGTACAGTGGGGAAAATGAAGATGGTCATGAACAAATCAGTCTACGGGTCTCAATTTTTATGCAATTTTAATTTTCTGTTTTTTTTTTTTTTATAAAAGCTTTATCCGGTATTTTCTTAATTTCAAAATCGGGAACCGGTTTTTTCAAATTGCAATTTTTCGAATAACTCGAAACCCGGTTTTTGGAAAAAATACGAATATTCGAACACCTTAGTATTTATGTGTTGGATTTTAAGACCTTTGGCATAGTGTGGCTAAATAATGATTTAATATGTAGATAATTACTTTTCTAGCTTTCTAGCAAAAACTCCGTTTTTAATAAATTCTTAGGAAACTTTAATATTTTTTTATAACCAAATACTGAAATTATTAATGACGTGTCCTTTTACTTTTTACAGTACAATTGATATAAATATGTGTATTTTTCAGAACAATAATCCTTGTTTTAAGAAAACCAAAAAAAAAAAAAAAAAATTTATTGTAAAATAAAAAATGAAATCCTTTTTCAAAAAAATCGGCTCCCACTGATTGATATGAAATCTCATCAGCTTTCAGCAACAAAACAAATGAAGACCTGTAGACTGATTTCTCCACATCCACCTTCATTTTGCCCACTATGCGCACGTCTCGTGTAAGGCTGCGGCGTGAAGTCTAGAATCAACTTAAATTGCCTGCTCATATGGCGTCATTTATTGCAAATAAGTTTTCAATTTTTATGTACTTAAATATTTAGGTGCGTTTTGTAGAGCTTCCTTCCTTCCCATTAAATATCGTCATCTCTTTCCTATTTGTTTCTAGCTGAATAACTTCAGTGCACGTTGGTGTATTTCATTACGACAGTACACTGCAGTCCTCTTCATTATTCCTTCTTGTCTAAGCATATCATCATTTAGACATTTATTTGTATTCCACCCACAATATGTTTGTTATTTTACATAATTAGCATTGACCCGTTAACTGTCAGCACTTCATTATGCTCATTTTCACTATGTATGAGTTTACTGTGCCCTACTTTTTTTCCTATAATTCACAGCGAAATGTAACTAATCCCATAAATAAACATACATACTTATACGTTCATACCTATGTATGCTTATATTCACCCAACTCGCTTACTGCCGCTTTACTCGGCCAAATGGTAATCTCAAACGTTTGAGTTAAAATCTTACTGTCACTCACTACCCGCGCCACTGCTGTGTCATTGGAGACGCCTTCTGTTTTGTTATGTTTGAGAAGCTGCGCTATCAGCTGACAGGCGACCTTTGAGGTGACGTTGTACAGTAAAACATAAACGTGTTTTGTGTTAATAGCTTCGCGTATTTAGACCAAAAGAGATAAAAGCCGAAAGATAAGCTGACATGAGATATGCGGTCGCTTGCGAAATAGTTTACGAAACGACGTCAAAATGAGATCACTCGAAGAAGCTAAAAACGCAATTTGTTTTTTGTTATAATTTGTGCAATGCTGGCAGTGTAAACTTAGTAATTTTTTGATATTACATACTACAATGCTGTTAAAGCTTAACGACCTTCAATAGCTATCTCCATATTCTTTCATTTGCTCTATAATCGCTTAAGCGACTTTGCCCGACTTCTCAAATGCACGTCAGTCCGGTTTGCTTTTCCGTGGGCAAATTTACTAAAATGATGAAAACTTATCAATAATATTTTCGTTAAGTCATGGGGCTTGTCTGCTCATTTCACACGTCGGATGTGCAAAAGTCATTAGGCCCATATTGATTTATGGTATTAGACGGATTCATAAAAAATGGATATATCAAAAAGTTAGAGGGTGAGCAGAGAATAGCATGTCTAGTTAAGATTCTAAACGTATATCTGACTGAATTAGCTACAAAGGACTTGGAGTGACTGTTTAGTACAGCAACTTGCGACAGCAGGCAGTAACCTCCGACTATTTCTCTGGGTCAACTTTGAAAAGGGACCGAAGGTAGTAATGGAGCAAGACCGGCTGAAGAAGGAACTTTATTCCGTTTGCTACAAGCCTTTGTAGCTATGTTGACTAACTCACTGGGTGCCCGAACTCAAGGCGATAGAGAGAACGATCTGGCAGATGCGATGGCTAAAATTGGGCAAGCTTTTCTCATGGAAAAAAGTACCGTTCTCAACTTTTTTAAAGGTACTGAATATAGCTACGGAATCACTAGCAAAATCCTTTTATTATAACCTCACTCCCATGGTTAGTATGTAAATTATTTTTAAACTTATTTGCCATTGGCGTTTGGTACATTATGACCTACCTACCTTGTGCTGCATCTATTTCCTAACCGAAGAATATTCCGCACTTTGCCAGTACGATCAGTGCCCCAGTATCGGATGGCTTCGGTACTCCCAGTAGCACCAGTGTCTTACGATTAAGATCTGAAAAATTACACCTCCATACATTTTCCAACACCGGCCACCCGGAATTGGTCCATTTGAGGTCTTATCGATAGTCCAAGCTAACCTAAGTCCTAGTTCACTTGGTCTTTTTCACACATAAGAAACCATCCTCTTCTGCTGCTACCACAAACGGGGATGAGAGCTGAAGTATCTATTTCTCAAAAAGTCCGCGTCGGTGTGTGAAGGATAGTTTGAGAGTATCTTAATCCTGACTGTTCAAAAAAAATTTAACTCCTTTGAAAAGAACAATGATTTTTAGCTGATATTAGCTCCAAATCAAAAACGTATAAAAGAATAAAAGAAATGAGATAATTTTAATTAGTCAAATCGCAAAGTTCTATTAAGTCCTAAATAATAAAAATTTATTATTTGTTTGAAGAATCAAATCATGAATACAATTTATTTTTGGTTTGATTCCAAGATCAAATAAGAAATTAATTTTTTTTGTGATTTGTTTCGTCAACCGAAAAAAAAAATATATTTATTTGCAATTTGATTTGTCAAGCGAATCAATTTGATTCGTGACTGTCCAACTTAAAAATACTTTTTTTTATGTAAGGCTAGCACGAATTAACATTTTTTTTTCAATGCAAATCTAATCACAAATAAGTTTTATTTTTCCGACGAATCAAATGACAACTAAATTTTATTTTTTTTATCTGTCCAACCAATCAAATAACTAGTAAGATTTGTTTCTTATTTGTCCAACGAATCAAATGACAACTAAATTTTATTTTTTATTTGGCCGATGAATCAATTCAAAAATCAAATAGATTTCTTAATTTAAAGTGGATTTGAAATCAAAAAGGATTTTAGATCACGCAAACCTGGTTATGGCTCGCCTCATACTGCCGTCTATATTCGTTTTGTGTTTATTATATTCTTGTATTGGCGTTTTTTTTTGTTCGCAGGCTTAAAGTATTTCGGAAATATGTATGTATAGAAGAAAAAGAATAAAAATTAAAAAAAAAACTCAATACACCCCCTTTTCCATACATAAATGTTGAGCTCATTTCCCAATTTAAACGAATAATATCTGACATATTTTCTTTATCGGCATACCCAAAATTTTCCACCAACACTAAGTACCACTTAAGTGTCACTCATATTTATTACATTAGCAATAATTTCCACTTAAAGAAAACACCAAAAGAGTTGGAAATATAAATGTTGAAGATTTTAAACAGAAAATAAAAGCAAAAATGCACTAAAACTTCAAAAGCAGCTGTTAAATCGCTTATATCCAAATTACTAATACATTCAACTCCCCTTCCAAAAATGTACTTTTGCACTTGAGCCATGAATTATGCTGATTACCATAAATACATAAAACATGCACCACAGCACTTCACAATTTAACAGAATGCAGAAACCACAAACAAGCGAAGTGAGCATTTATGGCCCGGCCCGCTCCCGCCAGCGAAGGCAAACAAGTAAAGTGCCGCAGCGCTAATGGGTGAAGGGGGAAAAATCGGAGTGCTGCTGGAGTGGGAAATGGAGAAGTAAGCCGCAGAGTTATGCAGTTATTGCACTTACCTTGCTTGGTTTTTATGTTTTTTTTTTGTTTCTTCCTTTCTTTCTTCTTATTGTCAAGAGACCCCAAAACCAATTTGTAACGATTGCCATTCATAATTTTTAATTGCCTTTTCAGCCACTTGAAAGCATCAAAATAACAAATTCGTTTATTGGACGGCTGCAACGTCGACAGCGGCAGCGTTGAAATTAATATTTATGCACTTTTTTCATAAGTATACCTACTTACATACATATGTATGTATGTCTATTAGGGTGGTCATTAAAAATATTAACATCTAAATATTTTATTTGGCGCATCCGCGAAAATTTCAAAATTTTAAAAAATTGGTTGGGGTTGCGGGGTTCGGAGAATTTTTTTTTTTTTTAACATAGAAATTCGACAAAATTTTCTACGTACAAAATAAAGACACACGCCGAAAATTGCTAAATTTTAAACAAATTTTGTAAGGGGCGCTAGCAGGGTTTATAGAAATTTATTTTTATTTTTTTTGTCCCAAAAAATTCGAAAAAATGTTGGCTTAAAATCTGTTAAATTTGTCATATTATTGAAGGCTACCCATACAAATTTATAAGCATACTGAATTCTAGTTGGTCAAAGTAAAAATTTTTTTAAGAATTCTTGCTATTTAAAAAGTTTGAATTTTTTCAAATTCTTGTAGATGTCTTTATTTTGCATGTAGAACAAAAAAAGGTGTGCCGAATGATGTTGATATTTTCAAAACCACCCTAAAGTATGCATAGGCAGATATATTTTTTAATAGAGAGTGGGGTTATTGCCACCGTATTTAACCACAATTCCCTGTCACTTAAGTGGTGAACTGTCAAAATTAGCTTTACAGGCAAAAACTGTTCGAAACAAATGAAACTACTTTTACTACAAAAATTTATAAAAAAAAAGTAGTTCACTTTGTAAAAAACTAGGTGCTTCCTTCTATTTAATTTTACCTTTCCATTTATAACGCCGAAATGTTAATTTCTATTGCAAACAAAAGTTTGACGCCTCAACGCAGACAGACACATAAGAAATTATAGAGCCCAACCTATCGGCCATTGACTGCAGCGAGGCAACACTATAGTAAATGAACATTAAAAGTAATAAGAAAATCGCTTGTCAGATAACTACTGTCAATTGCTATATACATATGTACCTACAATTGTATTTGTTGTATGTATGGAGATATATGTATCTACCTCTGCAACCACTTAGCCGTCCGGCCTTGCCTTATAAAGTGTAATTTTTTAATGTACACCAAAAAGTTGTACCGAAATCTTAATTGAAAACTGCAGCCGCTCCTTATCAGCTTACAACTATCTATCAGTCAAATGCATGCGTAAGAGTGTGTTGCACTATACACTGAAAAAAACTAGGCAGTACTAAGGCCGCCTAGTGGAAAACTAGCAATTTACCGCACGATTGAAACAGTTGACTGTGCGCTGTTATAGTTATGTATGTATACAGTTTCACATTTACCTATGTCTTGTTATTGTTCGTCATGTAACGCCTCACATATTTGTCTTATATGTATGTATGTATGTATTTATTACTACACTTGCATTAATTTATCTACATAACTTGTCTACTATCAGGTGTCCGCTGTGTTATTCTGTTCATTCACCTGACACATTGCTGCGATAAAAGTAAAATGAATCAACTATTTACACTTCAATACGCCGGCAATGAGTATTATTGTCACCAGTACAACGATATCTGTATATGAATGAGATTAAATTTCTTGTTGAAAAATAAACTTGTTTCGACTATATTTTGTGTCCAATTCAGCCGGAGTATGATACTTAAGTATTTGCCTACATATACATATATATGTATATACTTAGAATTGAATTAATTTTGTTATTTGATTACTTAGCATGCATTTTTATTATTTTATTATTTTTTTACAGATATAGGTATAGATAGATTAGGTATTCACCTGTGTGTGCATATGCAGATCATTTCATTAACACAACATTAACACGTTTCGGTTAATCAGCTTAGTTGGTTATCAGTAGTGAACATCTTTTATGAACCAATTTGATTATCGTTCTTTTCTTCTGTAGTGTATTCTTAATTAAAGCTCTTCAATGAAAATCAAATGATTAGTTAATATGGCTTTGGTGCCGACTAAAATGGTATTTGAATATTTGAAAAAGATGCTTATCGCTTTTTTCTGTGACTTGACAAACAATGGAATTTTTGGTTTGTCACAGTAGGATTATGATTTTATAATAAACATTTTGGTTTAATAGTTATAACATTGTAGTGGCGTGAAGATGGTAAAAAAACAACAACCGAGATCTGAGGCCATGAAGTAGTATTCAAATGTACATACATAGACAAACTGCAGCCTTAGTTTTGTTCTATCACGTAATTGTATCTTTCTTATAATTTTTATTGATTTGTTATAAAACACATTTTAATTTTTGGTACTTCATTTGTTCAAGGTTGAGCCCCTTAACCCAAAAAAGTTCATATGTAGGCGTCCTTTTAACCCACGTTTTTTGAAAGTGTCCTGGTAGTCCTATTTACAAAGACTACCCATAACCAAATTATTCCACAAAAATGTTCCTAAAAAAATTTAACTAAGGGCCACCAAACAAACGAAAGCTGTACGTCCTATGCCAAGGTGNGTCACAGTAGGATTATGATTTTATAATAAACATTTTGGTTTAATAGTTATAACATTGTAGTGGCGTGAAGATGGTAAAAAAACAACAACCGAGATCTGAGGCCATGAAGTAGTATTCAAATGTACATACATAGACAAACTGCAGCCTTAGTTTTGTTCTATCACGTAATTGTATCTTTCTTATAATTTTTATTGATTTGTTATAAAACACATTTTAATTTTTGGTACTTCATTTGTTCAAGGTTGAGCCCCTTAACCCAAAAAAGTTCATATGTAGGCGTCCTTTTAACCCACGTTTTTTGAAAGTGTCCTGGTAGTCCTATTTACAAAGACTACCCATAACCAAATTATTCCACAAAAATGTTCCTAAAAAAATTTAACTAAGGGCCACCAAACAAACGAAAGCTGTACGTCCTATGCCAAGGTGCCAAAATGTTCGAAAAAGAGAAATGTCGAAATCAATTATACCTTGTTGAATATGCCTTGATCTAAATTCAAGGCTTAAAGCTGAACATATCACACAAACTTTAAAGTTCTTGAGGTGATCTCGACCCAAATTTGACTGGTAGTTAAATATGAGCTATTGGAATGCTAAAGCAACAGACGGGGAATGAAGGATTGCACACTGCGCATTCTTTCATATGTAGTTCTAGTCAGGTGACCAGCCTCTAATGAATTCGTCGGTAAAGAAAAAACGTATCGATCCTCAGAAAACAGTAGCAAAAGAGGTGCTGCGCGTTCCTATTGATTTGGTCAAAAGTAAGTTCCGGGTACTGGATAGAAATACTTTATAGGTACAGAACCACTTTAATAGGCTTCTTTTTAATATACTGTCAGAAGACCTTGTCCAGCCAAAAATCCCTGCGGAATGTTTCATAAACGGTGTGGCTGATTACGAGCTACTCGGAAGACATATGTGTCTTCTATCTTTACAGTTGATTTGATGATGGAATACGGGGAAGGTACAATTTGAGAGTAACCTTTCGTTTACTATCTAATAAGGAGACAGTTGAAATATAGGACAAATAAGGAGGTATAAAATATAATACATCTGCCAGGAGTGACATAAAAAACGTCTCACTCTAACCAACCAACAGTCTCGAAAGTTATGAAGCCTCCATCATAAACCCACACAAATCTGTTCTGAAACCGTTCCTAGGAAGTTATTGTAGAAACAAACCAGTCGACCTTGGTAGGGTATTGCTTGGAGATTTTGACGAGCTCAAAAGTCTGAGTATAACGCTCAATAAGAGGCTCAGTTGGGATTCTCAACTTTTTGATCGAACATGGTGTATGAAACGAATATCCATAGATGCGCTTTGATTCGCTGTCCGATTTTGTGGCGTTAAAAACCACGGAAAGAAACCGTCTAAATACGTCTCAATAAAAATAAAAAGCGCAATATCTCACGGGCCCGAGGTTGATGAGAAAATCTTCAAATAGGAATGAGAATATATCCGGTATATGTGTTTTGTATGAACTTCAATTCAAATATATTACCGGCTAAAATTTTAGCCATACACAAATTTGGTCGCAAAAAATAAAATTTGGGACTTTTCAAAATAATAAAAATTTATAAGTAAGGGCCCTATTAGAGGTGCCATAACCATAACACCATAGCCATAACTTTGTCAAATACTTCAGAGCTGCTTATGGTTATAGCGAATAACCAAAACGCAATATATACCTTGGGATATTGTGATGGCTACGGCGTTATTTATTTAGAGAGCTAACTATAAGTTTGATCAGAACAGACAATTTCTATGATTATGACTAAAGTATTACGAACTAAAGTAAGCTAAATATTTAACAATATCATAAATTACCAAATTTTTAATACAGATTTTATCTTCTCTTCTCTATTTGCAGGCTACTAGTTGGTGCTCCTTTAGACAAAAATCTCCAGCCGGGTACAAATCAAACGGGTGCACTATATCGATGTCCGATTACACAGACCCTCAATGATTGTGAACAAATCATAACCGATGGACGAAGATGTAAGTTTTAAGGCCCATAAAGGTGGTCAAATTTTTCAAGACAAAAAAAAAAAAAAATAAAATCTCACACAAATTTTTTAAGCATTCATTTATTTTAATGCTTCGTAGATATTTCCTTCAGTTAGAATTTATTACTAAATTTATCTAAAAAAATTAAACAAAAAAGTTAATTTTTAAACAAAAAAATACTTAGATAGCTTTAATTACTTGTGGCCTATATAAATTCTTTAATGCTTTAATTCATCATTCTTCTACTTGGTGAAGGTTTTCGTGTTTCTTTTGTACTATCGCATAGTCAAGTGTTTTGTCACATTTTTGAAAAACCAAAACATTCTAAAATTTAGTGTGTACATTTAGTTAAAAATGGTGTAATGAAATGAAAATTTTCGAATTCTTTTTATTTTTTTATGACAAAGAAACTATTCCTTAAAGAATTTTATAATTATAATAATACGTGGAGAATAGAAATGTAAATAATTTCATTTTTTTCCGTAATTAAAGAAATTTATGTAAGTCCTCTAATTTGAAAATGAAATTTGTAGTTAGCAAATTGGATGCTAATTAACATAAATAACAGAATTTAACGAGAATTTTGCAGTGAATAATACCTGTGCTGATTAGATACTTATTTACGAACTGTGTATCATTTATTTTTTAATTGCATAACTGAAATTCGAAAATTTTGTTTGTACAGTAAACAGCCCAAAATTGTGACTAAAAAAATTTATAAAAACAAAATAATTTATTAATACTAAGAAAAAAGCCTCTTAATATTTTTATCGCTTAGATTATACATGTACATACCTGTATGCCATATATAAGGGATGTTCTTATTTTCAAATAATTTTTAGTTTTCACAAAAGCAATTTGGGTAAAAAATTTTTTTCGTTGAAATGTCTACGACAGTTTGAATCGAATTCTTTTATTTCCAATTTGTTTACCTTTTTTATCGAATATTTTGATGTAAGCTGTTATATTGGTGAGATAGGGATATATAAAAACAAATCAAAAACGTAATATTAAATTTTCAATTAAAAAATCGTTGAAACCGGCATGCAGGGTCGAGAAAAATATTTCTTGTACAATTTATTTTTTACTTACTTTCTAAATTTAAATACTCAAAAAAGGTTTTTCGTTAAAGTAATGTTGAAAGGCGCTAAAATATTACTCCAAAGTTGGGATAAAGAATTTTCCGTGCACAAAAAATTAAATTCGTGCGCATAAAATAAGAACACCCCTAATGTATATATTACATTTATTGGCATACCGATTCAAGTACATAATTTATGAAATAAATCTCCTTTATTGTATACATTTTACCGCCCTAATTTTCCCTTTTACCTACCTTTTAAACCCAATATGAAATTTATAAAATTTTTATTTTTTCTCTTTTTTATTTTCTTCCCCTTTTATACCGAAATCAATTTATAAAATATCCAAACATATTCCACATAATCGGTGCTCCATGGATTCCTTAAAATTGTAAAATATGAAACAAATATCAACTATTTCTTAAACAACTTCAACGAAAAAAATTTGCTTCTTTTGTAGCGCCTGAAGGAGTTTATGAACCTAGTAAGTGGTATGGGTGCTTTACTTGTTTATCAATTCCTAACCGATTTTTTTTTGTTCTTGTTGCTGCATTTTTTCGTTGTTATTTTCACTTTGAAATTTCTCACATAATTTTGTTCTAAGTTTTGAACATTTTGCATTTGGTAAATAACACAAGAAATCATGCATTTAATTAAAAAAACAAAAAATTAAAAAAATAACAAACAATAATATGTAACATTTCAAAAACATACATATAGCATATTTTACATACATTTTTATACATAGCTGCTATATCGTAACAAGCAAGTAAAACTGCACTAACCACAAGCAACCTATCTTAAGAGAAAATTTGCTGTACAGAAATCTAAAATATCTCTAATTTAACGTAATCTTAGTTGCCTCACTTTCACAAACAAATTTAACATAAATCTTAAGTATTTGTTAGTGATTTTCGCAAATATTTTAGCGTCACTCGTAAGTATTGAACATTGATGAAACGACTTTATCGTAACTGGAGACTTATCGATTATAATACATATATCTCTTTATGTGAAACTCAAGCGCTCGATATTTCACACTGGACTTTCTGTTAGTTAAAATAGATCCGCTCTCAATAACAGCTCGCTCGCTGGTTACACTGTGACGGCCCGGAGAAATATTTAAGATTTATTTCACCACACCTACCACACAGCTTATTCGAATCTTCAAAATCTGAATCAGACTACAAGATATTCGATCAAGTTTACTAATGTCACAGAATCGAGTAGAACCCTTGCGCTCATATGGCTAAAAAGGGGTGATCCATCTAGACCGGCGATGGGCACTGCCTTGCCCGCAGGCAAAGCTCTTTTAAGTTTTATATATATTTTGTATAGGCGCGTGTAGAGTAAAAGCTCTCTCTGCTCTTTTTATTTTAAATAAAACACTTAAAACATAACTGTATATCGGAATCTGTATTAAATATTACCTGAAATAACAATCTATGACATTTACTTTTTAAAAATAATTGCATTCAAATGTTGGCTGCGAGTACGCCGTAGGTGGTCCATTCGTAAGGTCCAATTTTCAATTACTCTTTCCAGCAATTGGCGAGGAATGTTGGCCTCCAAGTTTTGAATCAAAGCTGACTTATCGACGTAGACTTTAAACTTCACATAACCTCAAAGAAAAAATCCAGAGGTGTGATATCACATGATAACTTGCTGCAACTAAAAGTTGCCGACATCACGGGCTTCAATTTCATGGTGCTGTAGGGCTCGCCATTGACGCACATGTTCTATCTGTGGCCGATATTTGAATGAAATTATTTTTAAAAAGTAAATGCCAGAGATTGTTCTTTCGAGTGATAATAAAGATTCAGACATCCAGTTCGATTTGGCGAATCTGCGAGTTATTCATTCTTCGAGCGATACCAAAACGAATGTCATATATAGTTGCTTCTCACTTCAACTTGTGAGAATAGGTATTTCAGATGTTTTGATTTAGTGCTCAAATTCCCTTCCCGGATCATTCATATGAGTAGGCTTCATTGTTTCTCGAAACGACAGAGCTTCCAGGGACCAATTATAGATTGATGATGTGCCTCCGAAAATATTGTTGGCTTCGTCAATATTATTGAACATAAATACATATGTATATTAGAGGTATACGCCGCCGAGGCACGCCGCCGCCGCCGCCGTTTTTCGTCATTCCTCACGCGCCGCCGCCGAGTTACGAAAATATCGGCGCGGCGGCGTTTGGCGCCTAAGAAATTTTGTATAAAACTTGCATGTTGTATGCATATTGAAATACATCGTTTGAAGGAACCTAATACTACTCGTATAAGAATACAATTTTACGAAATGAAAATAACATTTTTAAAGGAGTTTTTTTGCATAATTTGNGAATACAATTTTACGAAATGAAAATAAAATTTTTAAAGGAGTTTTTTTGCATAATTTGCGCCACTGAATATGACCTCCTTTATTTTTGCAAAAAGAGCGTAACTCAGGAAAACATAGGTTACCTTTTTTTCGATCGAAAGCGTTTATTAAAGTTAAATTAGGGTCAAATACTGGTAATCTAACGATTTTTTCCGCAGTAGACAATTATTTTCAATACTACAACAATACTACTTTTTTATACACATATTACAACAACAAGAAAGTCATAACACATCAAAAATTCAACGCCAATATCTCAGAAAGCAGTTTTAACAGAAGCATCTAGCAAGACAAGTTGATTTTCATGTGATTTTTTTTTTAAATATGTTAAACAGACTTTTAATAAAAAGCAAACACTTTTTTTTTTTAATTTTTACAATCGTGGATTATTTTATTCTGCGTACGTATACAAGTACTAGGTGGCTCTGTGAAAATTACGTTAGCATTACTTAGTGGTGGTAAAGCCCCAGGACGGTTTTGCTCCCCCTCTTTAGTAAAAATTACTATTATTTTTCATTACATTCGGTTCTCCTTAGAAAAATTTGTCGCTCAATAATTGACTGGAAATTTTAACCATCTATAAGCCATTTTTTAAACAGTGGGTCATAAAGGCCCGTTCTGGTTCGAGTTGATGGGTTAAACTTTTGGAAAAAAGTAGACCAACCTTGTTTTCGATATGTAATCCGCAAAAAATCGTAAGAACTCCATAATTTAACATAACAGTTGAGAAGTTTATTGCAAACATTTATATATAGCGACATTTAAATAGTACATACGATCTGTAGAGAGCATAGAGGACCATGTGTATAGGTATGAATATACCTCAGATCTTCTTCTGTTCGCCCATCCATCAGCGCCAGACACTCAACATTTTAATTCAAGTAGAAAGTAACGTAATTTAAATTTAAAGCTAATTCAATAAATTAATTAAATAGAATTATAATCTGAATTGGCATGGCGAATGCCTAACGCGGACGAAATGATGTGATAAGATTAGTAGCCTCATGGCTCTTTGAAATCTAACTTATGGGCAGTAGCGCCGGCGTTTCCAGCCGCCGCCGCCGATTCATTTTGAAGTTACCCACGCCGCCGCCGCAAAGCCTGTCGGCGTAAACCTCTAATGTATATACATTTGTATATTGAGTCACACCCGACTTAAATTCCACATAAGAACATGACTGTCTACAACGAACGCGCTTTTATAAGAGCGAGATAATGTTAATAATAATGTAAATGTTAAACTTAATGTTAATGTTTATTTTAATGTTAATCTTATTATTATTAATGTTAATGTTAATGTTAATGTTAATGTTAATGTTAATGTTAATGTTAATGTTAATGTTAATTTTAGTGTTAATGTTAATGTTAATGTTAATGTTAATGTTAATGTTAATGTTCATGTTCATGTTAATATCAATGTCAATGTTAATAGTGTTAAAAAAATATGCACCATTTTTAGTTTTTTATTCAAAAAATATCTACCATTTTTAGTTTTATTTTTGGTGCTTGCACATGAACAAAATAGAAGAAAAAATTAACGATGTTGTACATTAAATTTCTCACTTTTTGCTGCATATGCATTATAATCTTGTTACACCGCCTCTCCTTGCGGCGATTTACGCACAAACATGTGCATATGGGTTATTCTTATTACGCTTGTACAGCTCACACATAAATTTCACACTTAATGTATGCGACCATATGACCTCCAGAACACGCATTGTGGCACTCCTTCGTCGATGGCTGTGGCAACAGAGAGCCAACAGCAGGCTCTGACAATGCAATGAGTGAATGCTGCTGCTGCTGCCATACAACAACATGGTTCATTCTTCTTCGCCAAATCTTTGCTATGCTTTGTATGGACTGCGTGCATGCGGATCCAGAAATCGACTATGTAAGGCGTACGCTACACGGTAACTCGTTAAGCGTCAGCCCGTCTTGTGAACATTTCTTCGTTCTTTTCGTTTCGTTTTTTTTTTGTTGTTTGCTTTTTTGGTGTTTTGCCGCTGCTCTTGATCGCAAAATGATTCAGCGCCACTTCAGACGCATTTTTATGTACTCCAGTGCCCATTAGCCGTTTCATTGGTTCCACATTTTTTCTTTGTATCTCTGTTTATGTATTTTCACTGTTGCTGCTTTGCGCCTTTTACTTTTTTATTGCCGCGTCGCATTTCAATGCGTTTTCGAGTAAATGATCGTCTTCTTATTTTAGAAACATCATAACTTATGTTGTCGCTGGATGTCTGCCTGTTCAAGCTGCACTCTCCCTGGCTGTCCGTCTTTCAGCACCTACCAAAACGCCTTCAGCCTCCTTCCCATGCCCACTTACTGTTGAGCTCCTAGTACATTGTCAGTCAGTGCATACACGCTCCACTCACGATGCAGTCACTCAACCACGCAAGTGACAACAGCATTCTTGCCACCACGTTCATATATATATACATATAGACGCATAATGGCAACCCAATTTCAGTGCTGCTCTTCATTGCCATGCTTTTGGATTATGGTGTCAGCGTCTGCAGGCGCATCTAGCACGAGTACAAAGGCACTACTATTCTTTGCTTTCGCTTCAGTTTCTTTTCCATATGTCGATATTTGTTATTAGTATTTTTATTTTTTTTATGGTTTTTGGCCTTTAGCTGGAGTCTCTGTTTTTTTTGTTGTAGTTTTGTGAGACGCAGCACATTGTTCGGGATTTTTGCGTGGATTAATGTCGCCACAGCGTTCCGTTTCGCAACTTAAAAATTACGATTTTAGTGGGTTGGGCCGATTCTCTTCTTTATTTTCATTTTCAGCAAATCGTAAAACCTTTCCGTGGGCTTTGTCTGTCTGTTCTTAATTCTTGTTGCCTAGCAATCAACATTGCTGTTTTGATTTTATTTTTTTTATTTTTTTCTGGGATTTTGGGCGGTTTGCTGTCGCTTTCAATTTCATTGCGCTTTTCTCGCCGGGATACGCTCGAGCGCTTTTGGGTTGGTTTGATTTTATTTTTTTTTTCATCTCGGTCTGGTATTTCATGCATATTTGACGCGCTTAATCCAATTCATGGCTCATTTAATTATAGGCATTTGCGTTCGAAAACAACATTTTCGCCAATAC